CGTACCACAGCCCACCCACGTCTCCCCTCTACACTAATAAAAGGAAAACATCGCTAACTTTTCAAGCTTCAGTGAACTTTTTCTGGGCATGGGTGAGAGTGCGGGATGAAGCAGGAGGCCCTAGGGCACCCCTGCCGGAGCCCTGAGTCATCCTCGGTGTCTTCCTATTTTCTAGAGTCCTCCCGGTACCCCCGCTCCCCGACTCCCAGGAGTCGGCCCCGCCCCCTCTCCTGGTCCCGCCTTCCCCGCCCCCGTGCCTCCTCGGCCCACCCAAGTCGCCGCCGCAGGCTCTGGCTGCAGACTGCTCGGCTTCCCCCGCCCGCCCCGGGAGCCCAGTCGAGCGAGCAGTAGTGGGGGGGAGGCGGGGGGGCGGGACACATTCTTCCCTCCTCCTCTGCCTCCCCCTCCTCTTCCTCCTCCTCTCAGCGCACCCAGAAAGCAGTCAGTGGAGCCCTAGGGGGCTCTGTCGGAAAGCGGGGGTCCCGATGGTGGGGTGGAAAAAAAGAATTCAGAAACTATAGGGAGAGAAGGTGCCGGGATAAATAAAGGTGTACTTGAGGAAAAGGAAGACACCTTGAAGACATCTTAGGTTCTTGGGTATCCCAGCCGGCTTCCTCAGGGTTAACCCCTCCAGACCCCCGGGAACCCCCTAGTGACGTCAAGGGCGGGGTCTGAGTCGCCGTGCGGGGATGCCGCGGAGATAATGGGGGGGGGTCTGGACCCCGCCCCTAGAGAAATCCACACTCATTTCTGCCCTTACGTCTCCCCCAGGAAGCCTCCCAGCCTTCTCCCTCTACTGGATGGAAAGAGCTATCCCATAAAGACCCCAATTCTCCAGTCCCCTAAAACCTTATCTTTCCCTAATTCTGTCCCCAAAGCTAGCTGCCCAGGGCCGATTGTTTCGGAGTCATGGGTCCTGAAAGAAGCTTCAAAGTGGGGAGCAAGGGCAGGCAGGGTGGTCTGAGCCAGAGGAGGGGCCTCGGTCTCCAGCTCCCGTTTGGGCGGGGGGGGGGCAACGGGGATACACAGGCTGGTAGTGGTCGATGGTCCTGCCCAGCCCCGGTAGGGGTCTCCCGGCGGCTGGCTCCAGCTGCCCTGGTGGTCCTGAGGTCAGAGGGTCAAGACAAGGTCTCCCCAGCGCCTCCTTAACGCCCTGTCCTTGGGACTCAGGAGTCCAAAATTCCTTGGGACTCAGGGTTTTTCTAAGGCCTAACCTCCACCTTGGACAGCCCCTCCAGCCCTCTTCCTAGACCCGAGTGCACTCCTTTCCCCCAAAACGCAAGCATCCGCTGGCACAACTGTCACAAGACAGTCAAGTGTCCGACCTAACCGGCCTCCAGTGGTGTTACTGCCTCTTACACAGCCAGTCTCCACCCCACCTACAGACCCCCCCCCCCGGCAGTGGGTTCCCTCCTCTCAGAGCCACTGACGTCTTCTGCCCCGCGTTCAGAGACGCACCTGAAGTTCCCTCTCTACTATGCAGACCTCCAGCTGGCCATCCCAATAGCCTCTTCATCTCAACCTCAGGAAAAAGAGATGTTCTAATGTGTGGGAGAAGTGGAGACAGACAAAGAGACCCACGAATGCCTGAGACAGACACACAGACTGTCAGAAGAAAAAGGAGATAGAGAGAAAAGGAGTCACAAACGAAAAAATTCTCCAAACTTTCTAACATCTCGCCCATTGTCTCCCACCCCATTTTTCCTGAGCCCCAGGTCTCCCTTCAGGCTAGGATGAGTCCCGCGCAGCAGAGCATCCCCTCTGCCCCCCTCCCCCACCGCTCCCAGGTGGTCCCCCGCCCGCCCCCCTTCTCACCTCCGTCTGGGCGCAAAGCTGGGGATGCGCGGTCCAGGGCTGGAGTCTGGGCTGGGGGGTGTGCGGTGGGGAGGGGGGGCCCACAGGGCCACGGCAAGCCGCCTCAGTGCCACCCCACCCCCCCAACCTGGCCCCCAGCCCTCCCGCCGACCCAGCCCGCCGGGCCGCAAGCCGGGACCACCCGCGAGAAGCGCAAACTTTTTTTTCCTTTTGCAAAAACTTTTTCTCGCTCTGGCCGCTGGGCGCGCCGCCGCTCTTCCCGCTCGCCCCTCACCTCCCTCCTATTTTCCTCCCTCTGGCCGTACTGGAAGATGAGGTGGGGTGGCTGGAAGCGAGAGAGGGGGTGCCGGGCTTATTGCACCCCCAGGACCCCCAGGATCCACCCCCTCCCTTGAGGGACTCTATACTGCCTCCCCCCAACACGCTGTGTTGGTGGGCAGTAAATCCCGGAATGGAATTCGCTGGATTGGCTATCAACGAAGAGGCCCTGAACCAGAGCCAGGAAAGCATCCAGAAAAATACTTCGGGGCGAGGAAGGGAGGGGGAGAAGTTCACCCGAGAAAGATAACATTGAAGGTAGGATCGCCGACTTTCGTATTAACTGCGCTTCCATCACTCTGGTTTGTTGGCCAGCCTTTTCCCTTTGGATGGAATTTAAGGTTGGGACATAGCTGGTGTTTGGGCAAACTGAATTCAGGGGTTTATGGCTGTGGGGGAAGGTTGGGGAGTCTACAGAGCATTAAAAAAGAGGTGCAGTGACTAAAGCTCTGAGTGTAGGATGTGTGTTCACAAGGTCACTAAGAAGCCGGGGGTCTGAAGCACCTTTCCCGCGAAACCCGGCTCATTCTGAAGACTGAGGCTACCGCCGTACCTCTCTACTGCCCTCTTTCCGCTCTTTAAGGCTTTTTGCTCTCTCTGCTGGCCATCCTCACACATGACACTTTCTTGGAGTCCGATGGAGTGCGGGAGATTAGGCAGCTGAAGAAGGAACCCTGAGAGGTCCCGCACCAAAGCTCAGTTAGGATCTCAGGGAGGAGAAAGCGTGAGCCCATAGAAGCAGGGGGGTACATTCGAGGAGGCTCCTAGCACCCAGAGGTAGTGCAAAGGGGGAGTGCACTTTCCCTTTGGTTTGTGTTGCTTTGGTGACCAGATGCAGGGGCGGGGCAACTATTTCAGGGACCCGGGATTTAGCTCAGTGGTTCCGGCGCCTGCCTCGCGAGGGAAAGGTCCTGAGTTCGATCCCTGGTACCAAAAAAAGAAAAAAAGAAAAAAGAGACAGGTGGGTGAGAGAAAGGAGTCCCTTCGCCTTTCTGTCGCCTCTCAGCTAGACCTCCCACATCCTCGCTCTGCTTCCAAGGACATTTCCTCAGACCTGGAAGGTCAATGGGTTAAGTATTCACTCTAAGCATCAAAGAGGGAAAAGATGAAGCTAGGGGCAGATCTGGAGTCCTACAAATATAGGTAGTGACTGTGGGGATGGAGACAGATAAGAGCCACATTTGAGCCTCCGTCCCCACATGACTGACTCAGAGTAGTTATACTGAGAAGGTCAGGGACCCAACTCAGTCAGGTCCAGTCAATGAAAAAGAAAGGACACTGTATATGTTTCTTATATGTTTCTGCTCAGCTACTTCCCCCTTCTTCCAGGAAAGCTCTTTTGGAACACAATATAGATTAATAATTCTTTTTTTTCTTTCTTTCTGTTTCTTTGTTTCTTGAGACAGGATCACGATATATAATCCAGGCTGGACTTGAACTCAGTATGGAGCCCAGGCTGGTCTCAAACACATGGCAATCCTCCTGCTTCAGCCTCCCAAATGCTGGGATTACAGGCATACATCACCTTGCCAGGAAAAAATCAGTAATTCTTTAGCTTTTTGGTTTTGAGACTTCACTATACTCTAAAATTACTGAAATTTTTTTTTTTGGCATGTGTCTTGTATCCATCAATTCAACATATTAGAAAATTTAAAAATTATAACAAGTATATACAAGTTCACATTCTATTAACAGTGATGTCAGAGGGCTGGGGATTTAGCTCAGTGGTTCTGCAGCCTGCCTTGAAAGCACAAGGACCTGAGTTTGATCCCTGGTACCAAAAAACCCAAAAAAACCAAAAAAAACCCCAGTGATGTTAGAAAGATGATGTAATCATGTGTCACACTGGAAAACTTCATTGTACAATTTTGAGATAATGAGAATGTAAAAGGAAAATAGCATTTTAGTATTATTATGAAAGTGCTTTTGACCTTATGAAAATCCCTGAAAGGACCTCAGGGACCTCCTAGAAATCCACAGATCACATTTGAGAACCATTGCTATAGACCATCACTTCAGTCTTTCTTCATGACTGATACTTGTTGATTTTCTTTCTTCTTCTTCTTCTTCTTCTTCTTCTTCTTCTTCTTCTTCTTCTTCTTCTTCTTCTTCTTCTTCTTCTTCTTCTTCTTCTTCTTCTTGTTTTGGTACTGGGGATTGAACTCGGATCCTTGTGCTTGAGCAGCAGGCAGCAAAACCACTGAGCTAAATTCTGGGCCCTTTCTTGTTTTTATTAGGAAACTATAAATGTTTGTTTCCCCAGTGGTTCTGTCCCCCAGAGAAAACCAGACAGCTTCTTAGGCACTGTACCCATTTTTCCCAACTTTTTCTTTCTTTCTATCTTTTTTTTGGCACTGAGGATTGAACCCAGGGCCTCACACCTGCCAGGCAAGCACTCTCCCACTGAACCAAATCCCCAGCCCTTACTCTTCTTTCTGGGGCTCTCCTAAACACCCTCCCCAGGCACCTTGCCCATGTCCCTCTTGAACCTCCCTTAAATTAATGCCCTTAAATTGGGGGTGCTGGTGCATGCTTATCATCCCAGCACATGAGAGGCTGAGGCAGGAGGATCAAGAGTTTGAGGCCAGCCTGAGCTAATAGATCCTGCCTCACAAACGGAAGGTCTCAAGTTCGATCCCAGGGACCAAAAAAATCTCAAAAAAAAAAAAAAAAAAAAATGGAAGCACTCAACAGTCCCTGTCCTCCGCCAGCGTCTTTGCCCCATCCCAGCCTTCTGTGCCTTCCACTTCCTTCTTCCCTTATTTGCGGACTTTCAATTCTTGGGAGAAACTAATTTTTCTCTGCCTTCTCCTTCCCTACCTCCCCACTATCTCCTGCCATTTTCTCACAGGGGATGAGGGGGATTCTCCAGTATAAGAAACACTTTACCCATCACTCCACACATCAACCAGCCTGAAATAGGCCAGTATCTGGGACAAGAGAGTCCATTTGTGTTCCATTTCGGCCAACCCAGTCACATTGCCAGGCAGCCTATTGAGCAGGAGTATGGATCAGAAAACCTGATGCCTCCAGACACAGATACCCTTTTCCTAGGAACCCCCAACTTGATCTCCATACTAAACCCCCAGGTCTTCTTGCTAGCTGCAGCCACAAGCCTCCACCACCATATCTGGCACATCCGTCTTGACCACATTGCCATTATGGTCGAGGTAGAGGAGGGAGAGAGGCCTTCTGGCAGTGGGTACACAGCAAGAGGTACCTGCAGGCCAAGGATTGTTGGCTTTGAGGAGGTTGAAGACTGCCGAATGGAAGGAGGCAGCAATGCCGGGGCTGCCAGCCAGATGAGGGGGGCACTGTCCACTGCAGTAATTCAGCTGGTACCCCTCTGGCTGCAGGATCCAGTCCCGCCATCCAAGTTCTTGGAAGTCTACGTAATAGTCTCGCCTACAACACAAGGGAGTCTCAGGCTCACAGGTGGGGGTCCTCCTCTTGGTCCGACCTGCTCCAGGCTCCTTGGCTTGAATCTTAAGCTCCAGGAAGGGCCGATGGTGTCCTGCTGTGTCCAGGAGCTGCCTCAATCGTCCAGTAGCAGCTGTGCTGTTGTCTTCTGAGGGTCTGCAGTCCAACCAGAGTTTCACGACACCAGACTCTTCACCCCTCAAACCACCAGAGGGCAGAATCAGGGCATGCCAGCCCGGAGTAGTTACTTGGTGCTCAGCCAGGAGGGCATGAGACTCTCGGCGCCTCCTCCCTGGACTCCATTGGAAGATCTTCAGGTGAAGAGTGCTGGGAAGGGTGGGAAGAACATGCAGCCAGAGGCGGGCATGGTATAGGTGGTGGGACTGAAGAGTGGACAGGTGGAAAGTGAGCATGGAGCTGCAGGTTGAGGTGGAGGAGTCTGCGGTAAAGACAACAAAAAGAAAGAGAAATGTGAGCAGAGATGAAGCTCCCCTTTGAAACTCCCCCAAGCCTCCAATGGATCTCCCTTACACCCAGCAGAGACTTTAGAAAAAGCAGAGACTGCCTGTGTCCTTGTAACCACTCCCTGCCCAGCTCCTCCTTCTCCTGCCACACTCCACTCCCTCTACCTCCTGTCAGGCTTCCTTCTCCCTCCCTTACCCATCCGCTTCCTGCCTGTCTCTTTCCTCACCCACCTGTGATGGTAGCAAAGCTGATGACTTCCTCCCCCTTTCTCGGAGCTGTAGTCCCAGGCTGTAGTCTCCGGAGGGCTCTGGTCAATGCTGCCTGGGGTGGAGGATGAGTTATTTTGGGACGACTGGTCAGGTGCAGGCCCTTCAGGATTTGTTGCTTGGCTAGCTCCAGGACCAGAGCTCGTTCTGCTTGAAGTGCCAGTGCTGGGCCCCCACAGGATGGGCATGCAGATCCTGTGCCCTGTACCCACACTAGTGCCCACAGCAGCACCAGCCAGAGCTGGACATTAGGGAGCCCCATGCTCCGGGTGGATTGTCCTGGGTCAGTACCCCAAGATGGCAGTTTCTCTTCTACTGATTTTGATTGCTTTGGAGCCAATGAAGGCTCAGCAGTGGTGGATGTCAGTGCCACAGCTACCCTCGACAAAGGGTAGGGCCACTTCTATGGCCTGGGCCTCAGGAAAGCTGAAAGTGGATTGTCCGATGGTTAGCTAGGTTTGACCCTCAGAGTTCATGACTGGCTACTGCCTCTTTAAAGCCAGCTGCCTGGGGCTCCCCCACCTAGAAGTCAACCAGCAGACCTTCCCACTGAGCCTTAGGATTGGCCAGCTGTGCTACCCATCAGGCCCCTGCAGGGGTGGAGGTCCCCCCCCTCAGCTCGGGTTTCACCATCTGTCTGTGGTGGCTTGAGGTAGGGGTAAGGGGGCAGCAATGTGAACATGTATGATGCAAGAAAGAGGATGATTTCACATGCTCAGTTCCCAAGGTCTGGGACTCAGAGGAGGGACTCCAAATGTGCCCAGGTGGGGAAGGGCAGTTTCCCCCAATGTCTGTCTATCTTGCCCAGCCATCCTGCTGCAGGGTTTCCATGAGGCAGCTATGGGTTCTAGTGGTTATTCTCTGGATCCTCTGGGCCAGAAGGAGAATTCTGGTCTCTTTATTTCTAACACGGGGGCTTGCCTAGGGGCTCAGGGCTGGGTGGTGGTGGTAAGAGAGTGGAGTTCTCTTGCTCAGGCCAAGGTGGTGGTGCCACAGGACACAGAAGTTACCCCTTGACCCTGCCTGTGCTGGCTGCCCAGAGTCCAATTGGACTGGAGTGCAATGTAGAGGAGTGCCAGAGAAAGCTGGGGACGTGCTACTGTGATTTCTGGGGGGAACCCAGAGGATGGGGGTGGGGGTGATGAACTCTTACAGCAGGGCAGAGTTCAGCTATCTAGGCTGGCAGGAGGGCATGTAACTTGGGAGGCCCTGTACCCAGCTGCTGTTTCTCTGCTTCAAGGTATTGTAAGAATTGCCTAAATTTGAAGCATCCTAGAAGTGGTGCCAGCCAGCCTCTGTTAATGAAGTTGGGAGGTGGGAAGCTTAAAGGCTTTTAAGAATGAAGCAAGGAGAGTACAGCAACCTTAGTTCCCAATCTCAGCCTTCCTTACCTACTTACCACTCTTTCTCGTGTACTAAACACCTGGGCTCAAGGAATCCTGCTGCCTCACCCTCCTGAGAAGCTGAAACTACAGGCATGTGCCATGGTCCCTGGCCCTCACCGACTTTAGATGGAAATAGGAAGTGGCTGGGCCTCAGGCTAGCCTTTTTTTCCTTATGCCCCAGTTTCTTCAAGAAGCTGGAGGAGGTGTCAGAGAGAAAGCTGTGGGGAAAGAAAGTATGATTTAGAAATGTGTCCCTATTCCACTTATTCTTTCTTTCCCTGTTTAGTTGATGGGGCTGTCAAGAGAGCACTATCCCTGGAGCCAGGGAAGATGGGTTACACTGAGGACTGGGCTTCAGTACCACCACTGTCCACCATGCGGCAGAGCTGTGCCACTGGACAGCAGCTGGCTTACAGCTGACCAGAGCTTCCCAGAGACAGGGAAGAGGCTGCTTGGAGAATGGAGAGATGGGGAGTACACCTTACTCTCTCATTTTGGGGACCCTACCTCGCCCACAGGCTTCAGGGAGGAGCTGGTTCCTCTGCTGTTCCCTGTCACCACTGCCAGAGAACAGACACTGTTCTCAGGACTGCATCACTGCTACCTTTGGTTTCAGATCTTACCACACTGACACATGACAATAGAGCTTGGTGATGGGTGCCAGGCTTTTCCTAGAAACTCAGGGTGCTATGTGGCGGGAGGAAACAGAAGGGTCAGTGAGACTCTTAGACACCCCCGTCCACCCTGCATCTCTTCCCAGGCCTTGAAACATATTCAAGCCCTCTGGCCAGTTTCTCCCCAGATCCCAGGTCCCAGGTAAGGGACGGCCCTCTAGGCCCTGGAGTCTGAACATGAAACTGCAAAGTGGAGCTATCTGCCAGTGGTAGTACCTAGGCGGGCTTACTTGTTGGTGCCAGGAGACAGAAGTAGCAAGGGGAAGTAGCAAGAAACAGCTTTGGGAGTCACTGACCCCCACCTCTCCCACACCCTCCCTGGCAGGTGCCCCCAATTTCCAGCTCTTCCCACCCTCGATGCTGTGCCTGGCCTGGCCCTACCTCCCCACTGACACTTACGTCAGAACTCAGCTATAAATATGCTCTCAGTATCTTAGTCACTTTTCCCAAGAAGTGCTCCCAGGTTATAAATACCCCAGCCATCTGCTTCATTGCCCGCTCCACCATCAACCTTGTTGGGGGCTGGGGGTGCTGACAAGCTCGGGGGTCGGTAAGGAAATAGAGGCAGTGGGAGCACTTATCTTGTCCCAGTGAGAACACCCTGAAGGAGTCTAGAGGTAGGGCTCAGAAGCTCAGGAAGAAAGTGTTTGGCTCTTTCCCTTTTTTCAAAAAGCAGAGCCAAAAAAGAAAGGGAATAGTATGGATCCCATGTTTATTTTAAAATAGGTTGTTTTGCTCGTCATGGACTTTTTTGCGTTAATTATGATGCTTAAAAATATGTTAAAATATTTCTTATTTTGATTGATTCTTTTTTCCTTCTCTTTAAAAATTTTGCCCTCAAGATGAGTGTCTCACTTTGCCTTAACCCAGGCTTCGTCCTGGGGACTGAAGCTGTAGTTGGAGGGAAGGAGGTTTGAATTGGAAGAGGAGTGGAGTGGGGGACGCAGGCAGAAAGGAGAGCGGGAGACACCAGAAGCTGCTCTAGATGATAGTTTACTCAAGTCAAAGGTGGGATAACATTTTTGTTGATGTTGTTTTGTTTGTTTGTTTTTGTTTTTATATTTTTGAGACAGGGTCTCACTCTGTAATTCATGCTGAGCTTGAACTCACTATGTAGACCAGGCTGGCCTCAAACTCACAGTGATCCTCCTGTCTCAGCCTCCTGAGTTCTGGGATTACAGGTGTGAGCCACCACACCCGGCAAAGGTGGGATAACTTCTATGGACTTCTCAGGAAGCCCCACAGCTGGGACTTCCATACCCTCAGAAGTTCCCTTTCAGAATTTCTCCTCTAGCCTCCCCATTCCAGGACCTCTTACCCTGCTCTGAGGGGGTTATAAGCTGAGCAAATACAGACATCACATTCCCCAAAGGACACATGGGCTTTGCGCAAACTCGGCCTTGGGCTGCAGACAGTATCGACCCCGTGGTCCAGCCAAAGGGAGGAGATGGTGGGGGGAAAGGGCAAAGGTCTAAAGAGCACCCATTCTCAGAGCAAATGCCACTTTTTCCTTGTCCCAGACCTTCCTCTTCGCCCTGTTCTACTTAACAGGCTCTTGCCAGTTCCAGCTGCCCAGCAGAACTCCTGGAGGGAACCTTGGAGGTTGAGGGTAGAGTGAGCCAGAGGTCCTGCCAGGCAGCTCTGAGCATGCCTCAGCCTCCCACCACATGTGTGTCCACAGAGTGTCAGCTTACTTGATGATTGATCATCGATCTGTCTCATCTCTTGGAACGAGTACAGAGGGAGGAGGTGAACAGGAAAAACTAGTTCTTTATTAGCCATGAGACCATCAAATGATGGTTCTGGGAGGATGGAGGGAGCCTGAGGAAAAAGAGGAGGCAGTCTGGGGGAGGAAGAGGTGTGAAACATGAGGTGGATACAATATCTCAGTCCTGAGGGCTCCACGTGAAAAGAAAGTGGAGAGTTCAGGCAGTCTCTGTGTTGTCTGGGGTGTCAGTTTGGGCTCTGGCAGGACATAGGGGAGCCCTCAGCTATCTGTCTGCTTCATCAAGAGAACTCAGTGAAGCAACTATTTACAAAGGATATAGACAGAGCTAAGGGCAACAATAAAGGATGTTGAAGCACTAGGGACTGGGAAAGGGGGAAGCCATTAGGACCCTCTAGTGTTGAAACAGTGTCTCAGAACCTAGGCAGAGCTAGAGCTATGCAAGAGGGGAGGCAGACAGGAGCTATAGGGACACAGCACAGCCACAGTTGCACAGAAGCATGGCACATGGGCAAAGGGGGCAGGAAGAAGATACACTGTATCTTCTTATCCTTTTGTCTTCTGCTTGGGTCACTCCTTAGTCAAATTCAGCAGGAATCCAGGGTGGGGAAGCTCAGGTGATATGGTTCAGGTGAATCAGGTGCCCCAAAGGCACACAGCAAGGCAGAGAAGGACAAGGGATGGATGAGGAAGAGCAGATGAGAAGGAAAGGACCTCAAGACATAGAGGCAAATGAGCATCATGTTGGAGAACAGTAATTTAATGTTTGATGAATCCAAGGGAGAGACTCTGGAGGGTCAGAAAGATGAAGGGAGGGTTGAATCAACTCATCCTGGATTGGGGCCATCAAGTAGAAAGGGCAGGGAGACATAGTAGATGATGGGATTGATTAAGGGTGAATTAAGGGTGTCTTTGCCTGAGAACCAGATGGCATTGCAGATGGCATCACTATGTGCCTGAGGCGGGAAGGGTTTGAGCATGAAGAGTATGGTGGGTAGACTATGCTCTGGGACAGAGGTGGGTGGTCATGAAGACAGTGCCATGATTCTTCTTAATATAGAACTCTTCAACTTAGAGGTGCAGTAATTTCCATAGGTTGCTCAGGAAGAGACCATCCACATTATGGACAGAGGTAGGCATGGGGTCATTCCCTCCTCTTGAGAAAGGGCACTTCTCACCTCGGGGTGCCTTTATCATGCATAGACTAACTGCACCCACAGGCTTCTACCACCATGTCAGGTATGTCAGTCTTGACGATGTTGCTGTCCCTGTCATAGTAGAGTAGAGACAGAGGCCGTTGGACTGTGGGCACACAGCAAGAGCCTCCTCCAGCAGTACCACCAGCTGTGTTGGCTTTGAGAAGATTGAGTACTGCAGTGTGAAAGGAGGCAGCAATGCCGGGCATGCCTGCCACATGTAGTGGGCACTGCCCTGTGCAGAAGTTCATTGCATAGCCTTCAGGTTGGATGATCCAGTCTTGCCAGCCAATCTCACGGAAGTCGACAAAGAACTCTTGTCGACAGCACATCCTGGATACTCCCTGGCAGTCAATGCCTCGTCGGTGAACCTGGTGCTTACCCCCTACTCTTACTTGGGCTGCCACAAAAGGCCTATGGGCAGTGTCACCCATGATGACTAAGCTGTGGGCTACCTGGCCTTCAGGTACCAGCTCCAAGGTAAGGTGCCCCTGGCTACAGGCAGCCTGAGCTTCAGGCCCTAGGGTGAGCTGGTGCCAGCCACTGGCATCCACCTCCAGCAGGTGCTGGCTAGCTATGGTGAGGTTGGTATCATGGGGGCTTAGTGCAAAGACCTTTACATTCATACTCTGGGTGCTATTGGGAGGGAGCTGCACGAAGAATAGGAAGCTGGCGTGTTGGATCTCCACACCACCAGCAGTCTCATCAGAGGAGAAGTAGAAATCAAGTCGTGTCTGGTTGACGTTGGAGAAGCCTGTGGACACAAGAAGCCCCTGTTATTGTGGTCTTTTAAGTGTCAATTCTACCACTACTTTTTTTTTTTTGTGGTACTGTTGATTGAACCCAGGGCTTCATGCCAAGCTACATCCCTCGCCTCCCTATCCCCTTCTTGTGCTAGGGACTGAACTCAGGGCCTTCACACTGAGTTTACAGCTCCACCTCCTGCTTCTTTTTTATTTTGAGACAGGCCCTTACTAAGTTGATAAATTGCCTGGGCTGGGCTTGAACTTTCGATCCTCCTTCCTCAGCCTCCTGAGTATCTGCGATTATGTGTGTGCCATCGAGCTCTGCTCCTCTTCTAGTATACTTGAATTCTCTGTTGCACTCGAAACTGCTACGGTTTGAATATGTTTCCTAAAGTTCAAGTATTGGAAATTTGATCTCCAATGAGACAGCTTTGGGAAGTGCAGCTGGATGGTGTTTGTCATGGAGATTAAATCCCTCAGGAACAGATTAATCCCTTTATCATGAGAATGGGTTCCTTATAAAAGGTGAGTTCAGGACCCTACACCTCGCCTTCTTTTTGGCCTTCTACCATGGGATAATATAGCAAGAGGACCTTTGCCAGATGCTGGCCCCTTTCCAGCCTCCAGAATCATTAGATGATAAATTTCTGTACATTCTAAATTAACCAGTTTGTGGTATTCCATTACAGCATCACAAAATCAACTAAGAAAGTTGGTAATGAGAGTGGAATATTGCTATAACAAATACCCCAAAATGTGGAAGTGGATTTGGAACTGGGCGACGAGGAGAGGATTGAAGAATTTGGAGGAATAAAGTAGGAAAAGCCTAGATTGTCACGAACAGAGAAGAGTATTAAGGGCAATGCTGGTGAGGACTCAGAAGAAGAGAAGAGCTACAGGAAAAAGCTGGCATTTCTTATAAATTAAGTGGTCATGCTCAGAATGTTGGTAGAAATATGGATGGGAAAAGCAATTCTGATGAGGTTGCAGGTGGAAATTAGAAATATCTTACTGGAAACTAGAGTAAAGGCCATCCCTGTCACAAAGTAGCAAAGAACTTGGCTGAATTGTGTCCGTGTTCAAGGGTTTTATGGAAGGTAGAAATTAAGAGTGATGAATGTGGGTATCTTGTGGAAGAAACTTCTAAACAAAATATTGAAGGAGCTCTGTGGCTTTTTAAAACTGCATACTGTAAAATGAGAGAGAAGAGAAATTATTTAAAGATGGAATTTATAATTTTTAAAAAAAGGAACCAAGAACATAGAGATTTGGAAAACCCCCAGTCTGGCCACATAAATACTAAAAAAGAAGCTGAATGTGGTGGTGTACACCTGTAATCCCAACACTCTGGGAGACTGAGGCAGAAAGTTTGCAAGTTTGAGCCCAGCCTGGGTAACTCAGAGACCTAGTGAGACCCTATCTCAAACAAGGAAGCAGGCAAAAAATGAGAGGGCTTCTGGGAATATGGCTTAGTGCCAAGGCCCTGGGTTCAATCCCCACTACTGAAAAGGTAAAAATAAATAAATAAATATTAAAAAGGAATGTTTTGGAAAGAAAACCAGGGGTATGGCCTAGCCCAGCCCTTTGGTAAGGAAATCAATATGGTAGAAGGAACCAGTTGCCATTTAAAGAGATTCTAAACACATTTCAGAGATCTTCCAGGCCTTGGCTCCCATCACAAGCCTAAAGCTCTGTGGGCTCTAGGGGATGGGCTGTGGGTGCCCTCTGTGAGCTCAGTGCCCAGGGCTGCCTCAGATCTCTGCTCTCTGAGATCCAGTGCACTTTTTCTCAGCTGCTCCAGCTGTGGCTCAAGTGGCCAAGGTGCAAGTCATACTGCTGCCCCAGAGGGCAAGGCAGGGAGGCTTAGTGTAGCCTTGTAAGAGTAATTCTGCAGGAATACAAAATGCCTGAGCCACAGGGCCATGATGGCCTCCACAAAGATTTCAAAGGCTCTATCAGCCATCCTGAGATGCCAGGCAGAAACTGGTTACAGGGGCAGAGTCCCCAAGTAGAGCAATGCTCAGTGGAACTGTGGGGTTGGAACTGTGGGGTTGGAACTGCGACAGAGTCCTCAGGAGGCCTAGTAGAGCCAAAGGGATGGAGCTCTCCCAGGACCCAAGCACTGCAGAGCTACCAGCGTGTAGTAACAGCCAGGGAGAGTCACAAACACTAAACACCAACTATTGAGAGTTGTTTCATGGGCTGATCCCAGCAAAGCCAGGAGGGCAGGGTTTTCTGAGACCTTGAGTGCCCAACCCTCCCTGGTGTGTACAGAAGACAGCATATGGAATCAGATTATTCTGGAGTTTAAGATTTGGTGTTGTTCACTCTGTCGGTTTTTGGATTTACTTGAGACTTGAGGCCTTCTTTCCTGTTGCTTTATCTTGGAATAGGAATGTCTATCCTATGCCTGTTTCACCATTGTATTTGAAAGTAGGTGAATTGGTTTTTTGCTGTTGTTGTTTTACTTTTTTGGTGCCAGGAGTCAAACCTCGCACTCACCAGGCAGGCACTGCACCACTGAGCAGCATCCTGGCCATAGGTGTAGTGTTTAATTTCACAGGCTCTCAGTCTCACCCTATCCAATTTAGATGAGATTTTGGATTTTTTTTTTTAATCAGAGACTTGCTAAATTGCCCAGATTTAATTTGAACTTGTGACCCTCCTGCCTCAACCTCTCTTGCCTCAGCCTCCCAAATAGCTGGGATCACAGGTGTGTGCAACTGTGCCCAATCTGCATTCTGTACTTTTGAACTGATATTGGAACAAGTGGAACAAGTTAAGATTTTAGGCTAACCAGGCATGGTGGTGCACATCTGTAATCCTAGCATTCGGGAGACTGATGCAGGAGGATTGCTATGAGTTTAAGGCTTGCCCTGGTGACATAGTAAATTCAAGATCAGCCTGAACTACATAGCAAGACCCTGCTTCCGGGTGGGGGGCAACTTTAGGGCTCTTGGGATGGATTGTATTCTGTATTTGATAAAGTCATGAATTGGGATTAGGAGTGGAATCCTATGGTTTGAGCATGTCCACCAAAGTTCATCTGCTGGAAATTTTTTTTCAATAGTGAGGATTGAACCCAAGGCCTTTGCACTGAGCTACATTCTCAGTCTTTTTCTATTTGTTATTTTGAGACAAGGCCTTATTAAGTTGCCCAGCCTGGGATTGAATTTTCGGTTCTCCTGCCTCAGCCTCCCCAGGTTCTGGAATTTCAGGCATGTGCTACCACACCTGCACAAAGTGACTTTTTTATTACATAAACCCAATCAGCTTTGTATCTTCAGTTTGAAATATTTCAAAGGCTTCCTGTTGCTGTTTGGTTAAAATAAAAACTCCTTCACATAGAAAACCTGTGTAATTAGGCAGTCTGCCACTTAATTAATACACTCTATCCTGGCCTTTTTTTATCCCTTGAACTCACCAAATATGGACTCATTTCATTGCCTTTGCACTTGATATTTCCTTTACCTAGAATGTATTTCCAAGCTTTTTTTTTTTTTCCCTGAAGCACTGAAGATTGAACCTAAGGCCTCCAACATGCAAGGCAAGCTCTTTACCATTGAGCTAAATTTAGCTTTTAAAATTTTATTTGAGACAGTTCTCCCTAAGTTGCTCTGGTTGGCCTCAAATTTATCATTTCTTGTCTCAACCTCTTGAGTAGCTTGGCTTATAGGTGTGCACCACCATGCCTGGCTTCTTTCCAAGATTTTTGAATGACTGGGGTATCCAGCTTTAAATCCCCTCCTCAGGGGTACTTCCTTGACTAACCTTTCTAAATTAGCCTCCAATTCAACTTCTGTCTCTCTAATATATTATCCTTCTTAACTGTCTTTAGAACAAATATCACTTTCTGCAATCATTTGTTGACTGTGTACTTGTCCTACCACTTCCCCTTCCCCCAGCTGGAATGTAAACTCCATGAAGGTGGAGATTGTGCCTGTATAGTCACCACTATATCCCTGGTACTTGGTAGCTTATAGACACTCAATAAACATTTGTTGAATGGGCTTTCATTTCTTTAATTCTTTTACACTGGCATCAGAATTATTCTCCAAAAACTTGGATGGATCATAAATTCATGGTCTTAAAAATCTTATCAGTGAATAAAGTCCAAATGGCTTTTGGAAGCAGTTAAATGCCAGGTGTGGTGGTGCATGCTTGTAACCCCAGCTACCCAGGAGGCTAAGGCAGGAGGATCATAAGTTCAAGGCCAACTTGGGCAACATAGCAAGATCTTATCTCAAATAAATAAATAAATAACCATTATGATTTCGCATATATATATAATATATATATTTATTTATTTTTGGTGCTGAGAACAAAAATGAGGGCTTCACACATACTAGGCAAGCACTCTACCACTGAGCTACTCCCCCAGCCCTAGGTACTCTTATTTTTTATTTTGCAAGTACAATGGACCCTCAAATTATGAGCAGCCTGACATACAAACAACTTGGGTTAATTAGGTTAATGGAAGATTCGTCTGTCTCTTGCGATCTATAGTACGTACCCAGGTAAACATCCAGATCTCAGCTGTATTGATTTAGTTACAACCAGCCCTTGGGAACCAATCGAGTTCGTAAATGAAGTGTCCACTATAAAGAAGGTTTTACTATGAGAATATAGCTGATTCTGTCATGAACATAAAAGGGCAGGAAATAAAGTTCAGCAAAGGTTCATGTGAGTTAGAAAGTCAGGAATAAGGCTGCTCTTTTGGGTGTTTTTTTGTTTGTTTGTTTGTTTGTTTTTGTAGTTGCTATCAGGGATTGAATTTAGGACCTTGTGCTTGCAAGGCAGGTGCAGTGCCACTGAGCTAAATCCATGGCCCAAGGCTGCTCTTGACAGCTCTCAGGGCCAATAAGATCTATCTTATCTTTGTCTCTCTGTGTAAGCCTATTCTATTCTTCTTTTTCTGTGGATGTACTTCTGCTCCTTTGTCAGCTTTCTTAGCTTCCCCAAATCACAGTCCCTACTCCCAAGCTTATAAGACCTTTCACAAAGTTTC